TTTTTTATCAGCACTCACACCATGCAACTTGGAGGAGACGTCTAGTAATGGCACACCACCATTGACCAATTATTATTATTATGACTTCATTGCGTGCAAATTTCAAATGCGTGTGCACGTTGACTCCTTTTAGAGTTCAGTCCCTACATGCTGACAAATTAATGACCAAAGTTTAAAAGTTATATTGCTGAAAAAAGTGAAAATTATTTTTTATTATTTGGCAAGACTCATGGAATATTTTTATTCGTGAACCATACCATATATCCAAAGTAAGAAATATGTTATTACAGAGTTTAAACTAAATTCTAAGCATACACGATTCATCTGAATTTGAACTATAATGCTTCGCATATCTTACTGTATTTGAGAAATTATGCACAAGGCTTAACATGCATGAATTAAGGTGATAGAACGTGAGAAAAAGACTAAAATCTATGATAGGACAGAAATAAGGTACATGACTATTAAAGTTAGCAATTCTGTAAAGTTTGTTCCCACTTTTGAAAACCTAAATGACTATTGACAAATGAATAAGGTTAATCGAGGAAAAAGCATTATTGTAAGAAAACCAAATCTGACTTAATTGGGCACCGAACAAACAAAATTTTATCGTGTCTGAAGCAGTTTTGAACAAATAGTACAAGATTTACAAAATATAAGCAAATTGTTCAAAAAAAAAAAAAATCAAAGAAAAAGGGACATGTAGCTTCACTGTAGTCAGAGGTAGAGGACCTTTACTTCGAGGTTGGTTCAACAAGGGAAAAAAAGATACAAGAAAATACAGATCAACTCTTATGCAATGATGATTTTCACTAAATTATGATTCCATTTGAATATCTTTTATTATTAATAATTATCTTAAATTTAGTTTAACGAGAAATAAAATATTATAGATTGTACCCGTCCAAATATTTTCTTTCTGTTCTCTTAAAGAACAAAGAAATAATTTTTTCGGTTGTCATAGGAAAATTTTTGTAGTAGTATCTTTGATCTGTATGATTAGGATTTTTTGCTATGAATAATACAAAAAGACCTTATAGTATTAGAACCAATGGTTTAGAATACTTAATCGAGTCTTAACAGAAAACTAGAAAAGGCTTTTAGAGTATCTTATTGGGCCAAGTGGTGAACTTTAGTCCTTTTAGACTTTAGGATATAAGTTTTTAGTTTTGGGCCAATTTGTTAAATCATTGGTTTCTCTCCTTTTGAGAAATATTATGCCTACGATTAATTCAACTGTTTCTAAGCTTTCACGTACTACATCTTAACTTTTATCCTTAATGAAACATTTTTTAAAATTATACACATAAAAATTTCATTTCAGCTGCAAATATTCGATTAACCATCGTGCGTATATTGTGACAAAACTCTCTTTTATAATATATGATAAATTTATAAATTTTAATGAATTTAATTTAATTTAATAAATATTTGATTTAAAAGTTTTTAGTTATTTTTCACCAATAATAAAATACATGTTAAAAAAAGTGTGTAAATAAAAATCACATTATACGACTCAAAATATTGGTTTAATTTAAAGAGAAATAAATTGGTACAAGTTCTTGTAATGCTAAGTTTAGAACAGTGAGATTGTAAATATAATAATGATGATAAATAATAATTATTAAAAAAAAAAAAAAAGTCTTGGTAAGTTTTTTTTTTAGTGGTTGGAATGAGAGAAATAATGTGCCCCTAAGGATGGTTGGTGAGGATAAAAGAGAAGGCACTAATGAAGCAGAAGAAAATGGAGGGGTCCCACAGAAGCATTTTGCATGTGAAAATCCACTTAAAACACTCATCATATAACCCTTCATGGTTATTAAACTAAAACTAGTCTTATATCCAACAATTACACACACCTACCCACTCACTACCATATCACCAATCCATCTTAAAACTTGGAAATATAAATTATGTCTAATTAAAAAATCATTATATAAATTAAATTTAACTGCTTTTTATTTAATCGAATTTAGACCATCTAATATGTAATTAAATTATATTTTATAAAATAATTATTATATTTTTTTAAACAATATTAATATTATTCTATTATTGATGTGTATATGCATAGGTCCTCTTTGCTTAAATTAAATCATTTCATCTGGTGTGGGTGGACCAATATTAGCATCTCATAAATATGAGATGAGATAAGATAATCATGATTTAGTATTTTATATTTTAAGTACAACCATGTACTTGACTATTTAATCACTATTTTTTTTTTAAATCTACTTTCACAAAAGAAAAAAAGTACTGGAGAAACATCCCACATGAACTATTTTAATTAGTAGATTGAGAAATCTTAACTTTGGGTTTAATATTTTAAAATAACAATGTTATCTTATATGTAATTAACAATCCCTTGACCTGTTATGTGATTAAGGAGTCTAAAAAATTAGAATTTTACAAACAAAATTATAAGCAATGTTTGTCATGTCAAACACGTTAATAGCGTTTAAAAATTAATATTATTACTTAATAACATATACTATAACGGTTAAAGAAAAAATTAGACATAAAATACTAAAAATGGAAGAATTTAAACCAAAAATTTGACAAGGATAAGGACTGAAATAATATTAAACACTTTAACTTTATCAATTTCATTGTTGAATCTAGTAAAAAAATAAATATAATATTAATCAATAAATGATATCGCTATATAATTACGTACTATAAATTCACTGATAATATATATAAAACTCCAAGTGACGTATTACATGCATGTATTAATTTATAAAAGATTTTCAACTCAATTATAGTAATTCCAAGTTCAAGATGAATACTAAAATATTTGAAAAAGAGTTTTTTTTTTCTACTTATATAATTTTATTAATATTGTTTGTTTTAAAAAGCACACGTAATTGTCAGTAATCTATTAACTAGAAAGCTATTATTATAGATTATTTTAATTCATAACAAAAAATTGTTAGTGATCTAAATATTTTTTAGACTTCATAATCTAAAATTGAATAATTCGAATGATGTTTTACATTAAGTAATCCAAAAATGTATATGAGATTGTATAATTTGAAATTATGAAAAGTAGTTGGTGCAAAGCCTTGTATAATTTGTATGTGCATTGTGATCTCATGACATCTAATTTTAAGTTGGTCTTAAATAGAGGATTTTAGAGATTTGGTGTGAAAACTCATCACTTTTGTCAATCTCATGGACAGTTTGAAAGTTAGATAATCTTGAGGATTTAATAATTTCATGTTTTATTCTCTTTTTATACTTCATCCTTGATAAGCACCAAAATTTCTCTTTTATTGGAATGGACACATTGTGTGCGTGTGTTTTTTGAAACGCTTCGTTAAGATGTTAATTTTGTGGGGAAGTTTTGCAAAATTATATATATATAATTTATTTAATTTGATAGAGTCAAAATAGAACAATTAAAAAAAATACCTATTAATAAACACATTCATTAATTATACAAGTGTTATAAGTTATCAAAGTTTACATCTTAAAAATTTTACTTGGAATCAGAGTCTAACATTATAGTTTAGTACACCTGGATAGTTTATGAATGTGACGATTTATATCTTTATAAATATTTAGTTAAATACTTCATGAATTAATAATTGACTAACTCTCCATCTCAAACATTTTTTGATATTAAATGTTGTGACGTCAAGATCAAGAATAAGTTGTAAGACATGGAAAGCAACCTTTCCAAAGCCTTCAATATTATTCAGAGAGGTAACCCTGAATCAATTAAATGGTGACTTTATCGAAGTGGAAAGTAAATGTTCTAACATAAAATTTGAAGTTCTTAAAAGATTGTGTAAAAATGGAGCAAATTCTACGTACCATATTGAGGTTCCTTCAAAGAAACCTAGCCTATCTTCCATAATTTAATTGGTAGAAGTACATTAATTTATGAAACAATAGGCTTAATATGTGAGAGTAGAGAATTTGAAAAGTTTAGCTATTCGATCGAGTTATAAAAGAGGTACGTCTAACTCTATTAGTATTGCACATTCAAGGTTGACATCATAACGTAAATCAACATTGTATAACTCATACAAAATACAAAGTTAACAATAACTGGAAAAAAATTTTAGAACATAAAGTTGTTCAACTTCAATCTCTAAAAAAGTTTGAATTCTGAACTTGGAAACTTATGTATGTACATGCCTGTATCCACTAAATATTGAAAATATGATATTTATTTATATATTTGCACATTATATATAAATTTGTTATTTATTTTTAATGTTATTATTTTATATAATGATCATCTTCTGAACCTTTTATTTATATATATATATATATATATATATATATATATATATATATATATATATATAATAAGACTTAATAAGAGGGTAACTCTCATCTTTTATTTTTTAATTACACAACTTTTTATAAAAAATTTTAATCACACAACTTTTTTTTGTCAAAAGTGACTTGAATGTGAAAGTGTATTTTAGAAATAGATCTCTATTTTTTTTTCAAGAAGATTATCTTGGTCCAACACAAAAAACACAATTTAGAATGATCCGATCTCACGTGCTTGAGACAAAATATATTATTTTGACGTGTTTATTGTGCCACCTAAATAGATATAAATCGAATCCATAAATTTATGATTGATTTGGTTTTATAAAATAGTGATTATATTTCAAATTAGAACATTGATTGATTCCTGTGGAAGTTGAATTATCATGTCATAGATGTAACATTCTTCCGGGAGATGTGAAAACAAAATTAGGAAAGACAAATTAAAAGATTAATGGAAATGGTGGTAGTGGTAAAAGAATAGATACAGCGGTGAAAATTGTTAAAGCTTTTTTGCAGGAGTGTGAGTCGGAAATCCATCAAAATAAGAAATAAGTGCTCCATGTGATAGAAGAAATTAGGTTTATAGTTATAATAAGAAGGTGTTGATGAGGGCAATGAGAATAAGATGAAGGTAATGGGTGACAGCAAAAGCACACTAGTGGTGATAGCAAATAACTTGTGGGGTCAACTGAAACTCTCTTCTCCACATGTGCTTAGCACCACAAGAAATTGTTTCTGTTTGGTTAAACTGGGCATAAAGAAATCATGTTTTACTCGATGGTTTATATATGGATGATTCTGCTACGTCGGACAGCATGAAACGCGATTTTGCAGTGGCCCACTACCATTCCTATATATACTCACCTCATCGATCCTCAAACCCCAGTGTGGGAATTCAACATTTTCTCATATGGCTACTTCCAAACTTTTCACCATTCTTTTCTTTGCATTCTTCAGTCTAGGGATATGCTCTGCCGCTAGAACACTCCTCACCATTGGTTTAGGTCACGGCATTGGTGGTGCTGTCCATGGTGAGATTGGTGTTGCTGGAGGAGGTTACGGTGGTGGTGGAGGTTCAGGTGGAGGTGGCGGATACGGAGGGGCCGGAGAGCATGGCGTAGGAGGTTATGGAGGAGGAGCTGGTGGAGGTGAAGGTGCAGGTGGGGGATATGGAGTAGCAGGAGGTGGCCATGGCGGTGGTGGGGGAAGTGGGGGTGGTGGTGGTGCTGGCGGAGTTGCCGGTGGCGGATATGGAGGAGGAGCAGGAAAAGGAGGTGGTGAAGGGTATGGCGAGGGTGGAGCTCATGGGGGTGGTTATGCTGGTGGTGGCGGAGGTGGCAGTGGAGGCGGCGGAGGAGGTGGTGCAGGAGGTGCTGGTGGGGGGTATGGAGGTGGCGAAGGAGGTGGAGCGGGTGGTGGATATGGTGGAGAGCATGGTGGTGGATATGGAGGTGGTGGTGGAAGTGGTGGCGGTGGAGGTGGTGGTGCCGGCCGTGGAGGAGCCTATGGAGGTGGATTTGGTAGTGGTGGAGGATCGGGTGGAGGATATGGAAGTGGAGCAGCTGGCGGTGGAGGCGGTGGTTCTGGTGGCGGCGGTGGTGGCGGTTATGGTGGTGGAGGCGCACGTGGAGGAGGTTATGGAGGTGGTGCTGGTGGCGGCGAAGGTGGTGGACACGGTGGATACTACCCCTGAGCTTACCATGAAAATAAATGTTGAAAAAAAAATAAAAAATGAGGTCGCGGTAACCAAAGTAGTAAACAAGAATAAGATATGGTACCAGGATGCTTATAAACCACTGAAATTGAAGTATAATGTCGTTGCATGTCTGTTAAAAAAACGTTACGTGAATGCAAAAGATGCACTTGTTTGGAAGCCTTATTATATGATGTCATTTTCTTCCATTCATGATTTTAGTAACAAGTGGATATATAAGAAAACTCAAGCATAGTTACGCAAAAACCTATGCTACATGTCATAAAAATTCATTACAAATTATTACCAACTTTACGGGATCACGAGGAATACATTTGTCCTATTTCTAGTTCTTATAAAACAAGGTTTACATTATCGTATTTCTATTTCATATTAAATCTCCCACACTTACTTCCATTTTTCACTGAGAAGATAAATTTCATTTCAAAAACTCAGTGAACCTTTTAAATCCCATCTACACGGTGTATTTGGTTGATAATTTTTTTATTTTTTGTCTATTTTCCGTTAAATGCGAATATATTTATGTTAAATAAAACATGAAACAAATGTAAAAAGATTTTAAAAATTAAAAAAATAGAACGGAATTTATGTAGATATTATAATAGAAGTAAATTTACATAAGATGTGACTAATTCTCACGTAAATTACGAGATTAAGTCCATAGTTGAGATTAAGTCCAACATAAATTTATATATATTAAAGTTTGATTTGACGTAAATTTAATCCTTTTTTTATTTTACATTGAATTTGTTTTATCTTATTATCAAAACTTGCAAATGTATTTTAATGACAAATTATATAGAGGTTTAAGTTTCTTCATATAATAATACAAAAATATAATATAATACAAATTATAAAAGTTAAACTAATAATAAAAATTAAGCTACCTAAATTCTAAACTACATAATATAATATAATATAAATAAACAATAACTTACAAATTAAGTACTAGAATTGTTAAATGAAAAACTTTGTATATTACTCTCTAATTTATATAATATCTTGTCTCGATAATGGAGATAGATCTTAAAAATATATGAAACATTAAATTGAATCTTGTTAATATGGCATAAAGTTAAATCAACTTTAACAAATATTGAAAACAATTATCTCCATCCAAAAATCAATTATATCGCATAAACTATGATTCACATCCAATACATGATATAACAACCACATTCAAATGAGTTTTTTGCTTATTACATCTGAAATGAAAAATAAAATATAGTGTTATTTTCAATTTTAAATACAAATAATAATTATAGTGTTTATTTATGTAAACGAGTTTATAACCTTAGGATAAATGAAGTCCAAATTCTTTGTTTTGGATCTTTCACTTAGAACATTAATTTCAAACACGATTCTAATTAAAATAAAGTAATTTATTATTCAATATGTATTTACACTTTAAAAACATAATTAATGAAAAAAATAAAATTACCCTTGTAACAAGCTTTTCATTTGACTTGATTTTCGGTGCAATGAACAAAACAACACCCCAATATAATCTCTAGGCATGATTACAATTAATTACCAATGGGACTTACAATATATGACATAAAAATTAATTATAAAATTAACATGATGACAAAAATATAAATTAAAATAATAACCCTTCAATATATGAAGTCAAATATATATATATATATATATATATATATATATATATATATATCTTTGTGAATCACTCATTCATGTTTGCATATATTGTTGGATTCTAACCTTTATATTTCTAGATTTTTAGATGGACCGAGGCTCAATAAATTCATATACTTCAACTTTTTCTTACTCCATACTCAATTTGTCAATGTACCTAACACAATGATTTACAAGTTAAATATAATTATTATAATCTTAGAAACATAAATGAACATGACTTACATTACGCACAATTGTATGATAAAAATGTTTAACATGCAGTTTCCCTAGCGTCTCTCACTGTATCTGACATGGTTGCTTTCTTAATCATGTTAATATGGTCAACAACATAGATATAAGATCATCCTCAAATTATGGCATGTCCTCATCAATAACAGGGGTTTTTTTTTATGGTTACCACGAAAAATAAACTCATAAACAAATGATAACAGTTAATTAAACATTCATATAATTATATGAATAGCCAAGAATGTGCCGCAATTATATGAATAGCCAAGAATGTGTCGTTTGCCTGCCCCGCTAGTTGAATCTCTTCATTAGGAAAAGACATTGGAACATCAATGTCATGAGTTTCATCTATTATTACCCACGTCTAGCCTATAGAGGGACACCATGTTGGGTATTTCCAAAGGGATTAATAATATGGAGATTCTCACAAATTGAACCCGAGTCAACCTATAAGAGAATATGACATCACTCTCAACCCAAAATCTTAAAGCATTAGATTATGAGTCTTTTTTACTTATAAGTTACTCAACTTTCTCATTTCTATCTAATGTGAGACTTCAAACTCATACTTAAATTCTCAACACACCATGGATGGTTAAGCCACCCTCAAGAACTCGACCAACAACCACTAGACACGGGGTAATCTTTAGCATATAATTCACACTATATGGTGCATCAGTCTGAGTATATTTCTCTGAATGATCTACAACAACACAACTCTCTTTAGTGTTGACTCGAACAACAACATCATCTTATTACAAGGATTGTCGTATTTGATTTAATTTTTCTTTCAATTGCATCTCGATTTTATGTAACCTGGCTACAAGAGTTGGTAGTAATCGTTCGTGATGGTGGACCAAAGTAATCACGAATGTCCCATGATCCACCACTACCACACACAGGTCCTAAGTACTATGGTCTTCCTATAACCGTCGGCCATAGAAAATAAATGATCTTTAGGTGGTCTGTTCAATTAAATTATCCTACAACCATTAACAATAATTAAATCACACACTAACTTATGTAAGAATAAATTCAAATTGATATTACAACTTATAATTTTATCAACAATGATTTGTACATACTCAACATTCATTTGTTTATCAAAAATATTTTAACTAAATGATGTTTGTTTTAGTTTTTTTTTTATGATTTCTTTTCTAATATATATATATATATATATATATATAATATTTTCCTAAAAGATAGAAGAAACAAATAAAAAAGTAAATATAACAAATTATATATATAATAATGTTTTTATTGATATAAATTATATCTGTTATTTGTTTGATCAAATATGATACGCTACAAGTGCACCAACATCCACGTCACAATCTACCTATCAATACATTGGTTTATCTCATTTTCAATTATCTTTATTTCATATATATAAATTTGGACAAATCTTTTACCATTAAATATTTTTCTTATTTAACATATTTTCAATTTTACCTAGTTATTATTTAACTATTTATATAATTTACATTTAAGGCATTCTTGTAATAACATTTAACACACAATTATAAATTAATTATTATTCACATATTTACTTAAAATATGTGAAATAAACAATTAGAAAAACCTAAAAAAGGAATAAAAAAAATATATATTTAAAATATCATAATAATAAGTTTATATTAACTTATTTTGTTTCAATTAAAAATTATTTAAATACAAAATAAGATATATCCTCTTTTCTACAAAATCTAAACCTCAAGTATGTTTGTTTGGGTGATAAATTTTAAAAGGATAATTATTTGTATCAAAATTTTCTAAGAAAAATTATTTAAATAAGAGTCGATCAAACCCACCATGATACTTGTAGTTGGATTAAAGCATCTTAACCCGAACATCATCAATTCAACTATTAATTTTAGTTCAAATATCATTAATTGAAAACTTCTTTAAATAAATTATATATGTTATTTATTTAAAATTTATAAATATAATAAAATTTATTTTTTGAGCAATTTTAATGGGGTTCAAAATTTTAAAAAATTATTATAAAGTTTTATGTTAATATATTATTCAACCATTAGATTAACAAAAATTATTTTATTAGTAATGTAACACTTAATACAAAGTTATATTGATACAGTTTGTTTTTCTTTATATATTATATTAAAATCAAGTTACCTTATGGAAATTGAGAATTTGACATTTAAATTAAATTATAAGCAAAGTATTTTAAAAATGTGGAAAAATAAAATTTCAAGTACTTAATTTCCATGACGTTGAAATACTCCTAGTTCACACACATGTAAAGGTATTCAGGTTTACAAATGTAAACAAGAAAACTATTTCACAGATACAAGATGGCAAAAATACTAGAGAGAGTTCATGATAAGCTGGTATCGACTAACCCCAAAAAAATCTAAACAGTGTGAATATGACAAGCCTGAAAATATAGTATCTTATTTTTCTCAAAGAATTGTGTATTTAAGTCTTCTATTACATTTGAAACATAATTGGCTGGCATATGTAACAAACTCCAAAGATTCTCTTAAATACAGAGCATACATTTTAGAGAATTCTGTCCTGAAGATCTGTCATCAATGTGGAGGCCAATGAGGTGAGCTTCTTTCCAGTCTCTCCTGCAATGTTCTTAAGGGAAGAGAGGTCCTGCTGTGCCTGCAGAACAGATCCCATCCAGCGTCAATACAGGAACTAATGCGACTAATTTGATTACATTTCCAACATTCCATTGTTCAATGACAAATGACATGAATTGTGAAATTTCCAGTACAAGGTCGGGGATACCTGGAAAGATAATCGATTGAGGAGGTCACTGGCACTAATATCAACGGCGTTGTCTCTTGAGTCACCAAAAAGATCAGCACTGGAGATGGCAGTTGAACCCTGGAATTAACAAGAGGTTAAACAGCGTCAAGTATAGACTTTAAAACCAAAAGACAGAAGAATAACTTGTAATCAAGAATATAATCAAGTTGGTAACAACTCATCTAGAACAACATATCAAACGAAAGCACTTAGTCCCATAAACGAGGAAATTAGGTCAGTAGAAGAGATTATGAACAAAACCATAAAAATAAAACAGATAATCAACTGACCAAAGCTTCACAATCCTACAACATATATCAGTGAAATCACATAATAAAGGCTACATGCTTTTATATACCAAATAGATGTCAAAAACTAATCTTTTATCCCAAATATATGAATGTGTCAAAGAAAGCTTAAATTAAAAGTGTCCCACACCAAGCAATACATAAAGGAGGAAGAAGTTAACTATTGGTATGTTAAAACATTTCTATCGGCATCATATGATTCACAATAAAATACAATTCGTTTCAAGGAGCTGGCAATGCTAATGGTTTTGGTGCTTACTGGACATGAAATGTGAGTCTAGCACAAGCATGTCACTCCCCAAACTGGGTTCTGACAAGCCCTACAAAAATGCATCCCCGGAAACTTAGTAACATGAGCCGGTGGTGGTTCTGACAAGCCCTAAAAAATTGTGTCCCCTTAAAATTCAGTAAGATGAAGGGGTACCATAACGGATCTCTTGGAAAATTCCTTCAATTGCTTGAAGTCGACCAAATAACTGGCTGCAGAACATGCCTCCAAGGTATTTTCCTTTTGAAGACATAAAATGCTATATTTTCTTATTCATTACATGAATTTTCACTATTCACGATCCGGTTCAATTTAAAATTCGGGAAATAGACCTTCCATTTCATGACTTAGAATCTCAATTAGTGTTGTTAAAACCGGCTTCGACTATTTGATCTAACAAGAACTGTACATATCATCGATTCAAGTGGCTTGCTAGATAAAAATGGTGAGAATCGATATAACTCCGCCAGTTTTAAAAACTGGTGTCTCTCACAACAAACTGGATGGTCATGTATGTAAAAAGAAAAATGGATAATGTGGAAGAGAAGAACTAGAGAACCAACACTGCTGCAGTAGACAAAAACAGTGATGAAGACAATGCAAAATGAAGAAAAAAACATTTAAAAGGTGAGCAAAAGAAGAAACCAAAAAGTAAAACGTTAGACAAGATGTGTGTTTTGAGCTCTAAGGATTTAAATTATGCTTAATCATTAACCAACTGGTTCAACGAAAAACCTATTAAGTCAGTACCTTGACTCAACCAGGTTCTAATAACACTATCTCAATTCTACTACCATGAATTAAAATGGGAATTGGTATATTTTTTATCACATGATCAGGGTTTCCTCCACCCAACTCACAACTATTATGGCTAAAAAGGAACCCACAAGAAGAGCAAAAAGGTTTTTTATCATGTGATTCCCATCATTCCATCTTCGCATTGTAGAAGCTTGCTCTGTCCCGGTTAAAATGTTGACAAGGAAAATAATATTTTTGTCCCTTTTCTTTCTGGTCGTTTAGAACAACCAAGGATGTATTTTACATAGACTTTCCTTTAACTACTGAGAAACAGTTTATGAAAATTCTCTCTCTTCCTGACCTAATGCTGAATCTGAATGAATTTAAGAAAATTATTTTTCAATAGGAAAAACACGTAATAACACTAGGTTGGGTAAAATTCCTAGTAATAAATAAAGGATTACTAACCATATCAATAACAAAGAAAATTAGCTATTAACTATTATGTAAGTCTACTAATGAGACCAGAAATTGAGTTTCCTAGACATTACCTTATAATGGTTTACCTTGAGCATTTTGCCCAAAAATTATTCACAGGCTGTCTTTTATTCATTAAGATAATGGTTTTAGATGATCACAGTCACCAATAGTAAACTAACCCCATTCCAGACAAATGAAAAGACAACTGACCCAGATATAAGGCAAATAAATAAGTCTAGAATTACTCATGGTTTTCAGATTACAAAATCATTCATATTTAAAATAAAAGTTTATTTGAGCTTATTCTGAAGATAATTAGTTTTTTTAATTTAAAGGTGTTAAAAAATATCATAATAATTATATATTTTGAGAAAAACAAAGGAATTGGGGCTTTAATTGTTAATAAAGGGGATCAGACATCTGAAATAAGCAAAATTGTATATTCACACTATATGGTGTAAGACAAAGTAGTTTAGACATACCGAAAACTTGGACAAAGTAGCTTGAGAATCCAAATCCGAAGCTTTGCTCTGATCTCCAAAAAATTGGGATGATGAAATAGATTTAGCATTTGAGAACTTCCTTCTTGCCTCGTCAGATTCCTCAATCTTATGAATCCATGGGAAAGTAAAATAAGGTCTGGATATATGAATTTCTTAAATAAACAACACAAACTTTTACAGATGATTGGCCACATCTATTTTATGTTTGGCAAGATAATAAATGAATGCTCACAGGTAATAATAGGAATTTCAACCATGTAGATATAGTTTTCTGAACCGATATAATCACTATTTTAGCTTAAATTACTACAAAAACAGGCAATTCTAATGGCCCAACCTGGTTTATGTTGGTTATACCGAGCACTTTCCAGTGATTTCAGCTTTAAAGAAATATTCATGGTCAACATGATAATCGATGCAACATAGTTATAATGATATCATTATATCATTATCAAGTTATAGTTCACAACCTCTGAACTATGACCAAAAACAAAACATGTCTCCTGGTTTTTATATTAACATACTTTAAATACTAATACGTTTATGTTATTATTAACATAGAATAATACATGATTCTATGTGTATGCTAGCTTTTCCATTTAAGAGAAGGCTTACAAGCTAGCACTTTATCCCAATGTTGACCATGCTAGCATTTCCATGGATCTTTATGTTGTAAAGAACATGGAAGTGAATAGAAACTAGACATTCATATATAACTTAATCCAGTGCACCAAATATATGCATAAGCAATTACATAGCACAGGCAAAAGTTGCAGGCATATATGGCTTACTTGCACTTTGGAGGAGCTAGGACCAGATTTCTTCGGAAAGCCACCATCCATTCCAAAGTCTGCAAAGAAGCTTGAAGACTTTGGTGGAGACACATGACTCATCACATGTGAAGCTCCAGTGTTCAACTCAGATGATTGGACATTTTCTACATACTCAAACCGAGATGTCAAAGATGGTCCAGTAGGCATATTGTTTGTTGAGGATGTAACAGGAGCAGGGGGTTCCTCCGGCTTCTGCTCATAGAGAGACTCACTTGGCTGCATTTCATGAGGATAATTTGTCAACAAATAATGGAATCGAATTAAATAGTGAATGAGATAATGGAAAACCAACAGGACTTCTAGCATATATCTGTGAACAAAAGATAACTATTTTCATGTTTACCTTTTTAGTGAGTTTACGAGCACCAAGCCCCCCACTCTTCCCAACCTTTTTAGCACCAATAGGTTTCTTGACAGTACTTGAAATTACTGTGTGTGAAGCCCTGGGTGAAGAAGTGCTCTCAGGCTTTTCAGGCTTCTCCAGAGTGTTTTCTTTTGGCACTTCATTGGTCCTGACTTCAGGAAGCCCATTAACACCATGAGGAGCATGAGAAGCGACAGGTGATGAAGGCAAGCCTCCATCTTCAGCCATACTTTTAGCCACCTCCTTTGAAAGAATTTGCCTATACAAATCTGCAGCTCTGGATGTGTACTTAGCCTCTATTTTGCCACCATCACTCCAACCATGTTGCTTAAAGAAAACTTGTGCTCGATTGTTACCTCCAAAGCTCATCGTTTTTAGTTGCTCGGGACTCCATGAGTCTAAATTTGTAGACCTACATATAGAAGGGGATATAGTTATTTAGCTGTCATTGTTTCTGTGTTCTTTATTTACAACAACTCCCTACCTTTTGATTGTAGTGTGTTTCACAGAATATACAAATACAAAATAAAGATGCAGAAGCACAGGATGTGAAATTTATATTTAGTGTTAAAACTGCTCAGCATTCAAAATACTCTTGGAAAGTACAATAACATAAGAAATGAGCAAAGCTCATTGGAGCTCATTGAATATACAAATATAGTCTCTTTAGGTTAAGAAATCATGTTTGCTTAAACAAATGCCTCCAACCCAAACATTTCCAGATACATGTCCCTGAAAACCAACTAGTATTTGATAATTCCATGATTGCTGAATTTTAAATCCTTATTCCACATGGCAACTTAAGGAGCAGAGTAAAATAATAACTATATGTCATAATCTATCCTTTCCAATCCGATCAAGCCACAAACTCACCTCTTGACTGAATAATCTTATGGAAAATAACAAAAGGGAATCAGAAACAATAACTATACTTACCCAGGCTTCATCCTCACAAATACAAAATCTAATGCAAACCATTGAATAATCCCTAAGATCCACCATGACTTTCTTTTATGAAGGAACCACATCGGGGTTTCCTTTCAACTATGCGAGGACAAAGTCTGTCCAAGGATCATTACTAAATTTGAAAAGCAATATCCAGAAAAGTGTTACATGCTTTGAATATAAAATTAAAATCACCCAAGATAAAGGATATCAACAAATCATTTATAATATAAATCTCATACCATACCCCATGTTATCCTGATTTGTATTCAAAGCCCTGCACCCCAAACAAACAACACCCTGTAACACCTGTATCTTACGTGATTAGTATCATGTCTTTTTGATGCATGAATCAAAGCTGTTGATGAGTTCTCAAAAAAGAGTTTGCAAGGTGATTTCAAGTGAGAGCCTTACTGCAAAGCGTCTGACATTCATATTAAAAGTCCTAAACAAAAACTTGACAAATTACAAATTTAAGAATCAACTGGGTGGTACATCAAGAGTGATAGAAAATGTTAGTGGTGAAATGAAAGTGTTCAAGAAAGATAAAGAATCTCATTGGAATGGAAGTGTTTAAAAGGTAATGTCTTAAGGCCTCTCACATGTGTAAATGTAATAATGCTGCAAACTGGACATGTATTGGAAGGCCAAAAGTGAGACAAGAAAAGCTGTAAGTGAGGCATGATTCAAAGCTTTGGAGGAGTTTAACATGATATTGGAACAAAGAATGGAAATGTAGAATTAATAATTATGCCAAACCTAGAAAAGGAAGTCAACATGAATGAACCAAGGAGTCAAGGAAGAAGATCCAAATGTTTTGCTTATGGAAGGACAATGCAGAAAATTATGGAAAATCTGACTTTTTTTTTACCGAGTTCAACTATGTAACCCACATCATCTAGTGGGACAAGGCTCCTATTATTCTTGTTGTACACCTCATAGTAGAGACCGAACTCTGGAGCTGATTTCATTGACTATTCAAGTTTTAAACCAAATTAGCTTGGGGAAATCTCTAAATGATAAATTCATCCGCATGAACATTCAGACCCCCACTACATTCCCAATACAAATCAATAAGACGATCACATTGCAAACCGATACAAACAATTTCCACAGAGAAAACTCCACAAAAACATATTCACTATTAAAAAAAAAATCGGCAACACCTTACCTCACGAAGCTGATGTGCACGCCGAGACTACGATGAACGGCGGAGCAATCGATGCAGAGGAAGATCCCATATGTGACGGACGCCCAGGTAGGGTTCTTCGCATTGCAATCAAAACACATCTAAAAAACAATAGAAAAAGGCATACAAATTCAAAAATCAAACGCAGGAGCACGGGTATCGCAGATCTGAAACCAGATCTCGTAAATCAGAAAGCATAAACGAAAAATTTCAGAGTACATGAAAAAGAAATAACGAAATCAGCTATAGAATTAAATAGAAATTGAAATTGAAAATTATAAAAGAAACCTTGTTTTCAGACTTGGCCTTGAGTTTCCTGAAGACAATGTTCTTGTCGGTGAAGCCATCGGACGCCATTGGAAGATGAAAAGAAAAAAGGAAAACGAAACGAAAACGAAATTTGAATTTTTATTTTGTTTTTAAGCTTTCTGCAAATGAATCTCAGGGGTGTTTGGGGAACAGGAACACCACCTGAGCAATATAGATTGAAGGGAAAAAATTTGCAGGCAGAACCGCAAATCTTGTTGTGTTTGAGCGTTTGTGCAAATATTTACTTATTTTCCTTGTCTTTAAAAGGACCTTTTACAAGCGAAATATTCATATGACGAAATTGCCCTCCAGCGAAATCAGGGATTGTTGGCCTCTGCGTTTTCCCAAGTCGGTGAATGGTTGCTATCCCCAACCAAGAGACTTCAAATAACCCTTCTCTTCTCTATTCAATTCACCCAAACGTATTAATTATCTTTAAAAATTCATTTTTTACCATTTAAATTATTTAGGCACCCCTTATCACCCTCTTCCACAATTTTATCTATTAAATTTAATCTTTTAAAACGGAAAAAGGAATGTATTTTTTATATTTATTTTAAAATATAAATATTATTATATGTAAAAAATTCTTAGATATGAAAAGAATAATTAAATATGAGAGACAAAATATGGAAAATTTGATTGAAAAAATAGAAGAATAATTAAATGAGAGAGAAAATAAAGAGAATGTGGTTGGAGAAATAGAAGAGAGAAAGATCGTTTGTAGTTATTTTTGTTTATTTTATTTATATTTGAGATTAAAAAAAAATCAAAGAGAGATTGGAATTCAAGAAAGAGAATCAAATTTATTTAATTGTATTTATTTAATGAGAGATGTTGAGGAGGAATAGTACAGAAATAAGATAAATATTGAAAAAAAAAACCTTATAGATATTGTATGTAAAAAATTATTAGATACGAAAAGATTCAGTGAGAGATAAATTAAGAAGATTATGATTGGAGAAGTAAAAGGGATAAATATATCATTTTTAATTATTTTTATTTATTACATTTATATTTGAGAGAAAATAATTATAAAAAATAGGTGATACAAGGATAATCATAAATAATATTTTAAAAGAATAAAATTTTCAAATATATTTGTTCTCAATTTATTTATTCAATTAAAATTATTTAATTTTTAAATATGGAAGCCTTAATTTATTACCAGAAATAAGATTCTCTTATAACGAATTTAATTACGATAAATTATATTTTTTTAAATAGTTTTTTGTTTTATCATTCACTATTTGTCTTTTTATTTAATTTTTTTCTATCTTATCTTTCATTTTATTTTTTTCTATTTTTTTATTTAATTATTATTATTATTATTTTAAAAATCAAATAAGAAGAATCCATTAAATTATTATGATTGAGAATTGGACGATTGAACCAAAAAAACCTGAAAAATCAATTAATTTTTTCGTCGATTTTAGTAAAAATATATATTAAATTTTAATATAATTCTTTATAAAATATATAATATATTTTATTTTATTTTAATATTACTTATATTATATTTTTAAATATATTTTATATTTATAATTTTTATTATAATTTAAGGTGACATAAAAAAATCTTTATTCTATTTTTAATATTAAAAATATTATTAATAATTTATTATATACTTATTATATTATAAAAATATAATTTTGTTAAATCCAATTAAATTTTTAAACCTTAAACTCATTTTTATTAATTTAATGATTAATCAAGATTTTAAAATATGGATTATTGTTTCCTTTTTTTAGTTTTTTTTTCCTAATTTTTATGTCATTATATTATCACGGTTAAATACCTACCTGCGCATAACACCCTTATCGAGAATACTTTCGACGCAAGCACCACTCTAAACACCCACTCTGATCAACATTCGATACCATGCATAACACCAAGCACCACTCTTAAACACTCACGTCGACTTCGACACAAGCACCACTCAAACACCTGCCGATCAACATTCGGATACCACGCATAACACACAAGCACCACTCTTAAACACCCACTGTCGATCAACATTCGGATACCACTTGTTGAGTCTTTCGAAGGGAGATTCGCAGAGGAGAAACACAACCAATGAGACCTGAATCCAACCTATATAAAGAATTGACACTACTATCAACCCAAAATCTTAAGGCATTAGGTAATGGGTCATACATCCTTATATGTTGCTCAACTTTCTCATTCTTACTCAATGTAAGACTTAACTCACACTTAAATTACTCATCACATAAAATCGCATAAAATATACTTATTCTAAGGATAATAAATAATAACACTAAATAACTAATTGAAATTTATTTATTTAATAAAAAGTTAACATAATATATGAGCATTTACTTATCATAATATATCTATTATTTATTAATAATTTTAATATTCTGACATAAATAGTAAATTACAAGTATAATATTATAAAAATCTAAAATATTATAAAAAATCAAATAGACAAATTTAAAAATATTAGAAGATTCACTAATTATATAAGTTAAAATTAAATAATTAATTAGTTTAGATACAAATTATTTCCCATCAAATTATAGATAAATAATAAAAATATATGCATTGAATTTAAAAATTGGGTTTTTAACAAAATATATATTAGTTTTTGTATTATATAGTTTACACAAATATTTTTTTATATTATTATATATTTAATGGATAAATGTAACTATTGTTTTAAGTTATTATAATTGTTATAAACTTTACATATTTATATAATTGAAATAGAGAATGAGAAAAAAAATAAAAATAAAAAGAGAGGAAAAAATAAGTGGGAAAGAGTGAAGACATATAGAATAATAACTTTTATGTGATCGAATTTTTCACATAACTAGTTAGATAAATAAATTTATAAAAGTTTTGGTTTGAATAATTTTAAAAAAATATATTATTTATATATAAAACTCAATAACGACGTGAGTGAAAGGTGAGATAATATTTTTTATTAGTTTTATTTATTTAACAATGAAAGTTAAAAATAAAACATTGTTAATGATACGATCTTATTTGAGATATTATATATGTTTTTAATATCTTATATAATTTATCCTTTAATATATTATTTCCAAATCTTGTATAACCTTTATATGTCTTTTAATAAAATTTAATATTTAATATTTAAATAAAATATTTTTAAATTATTAATTAATTAAATTTTAATTATTAAAATCAAAGTAGAAAAAATAAATTATATATTTTATATCATATATGATAAATAGTAATAAAAAATAAAATAAAATTTTGTATCAGTTACTACTTTAATCATACAAATTTAAAATAAAATATTAATTTAATTTATTTATTAAAATGTTTATTTGTTAATTAAAAATATCAAATTATATTAATTTTAAAAAAATTTGTTTAAGAAAAATAAAAGATTTCACATTAAAAAAACAAATAAATGATGTTTTTAAAAAATAATTAAAATATATTTTTTCTTTAGATTATAACACTTTTATTTATTTTCTATGATACTAAAAAACAATTACAAAAAGAAAATTCTTGTATATATAGTTATAAATGAGAACAAATACTGAAATATTAAACAAAATAAAAAAAATGAATTAAAAAATATTTATATGATATTAAAAATAAAATACAGAAAAATTGTATACATTAAAAAGTGGTGACACAACTTCATCATGTTAAACATATTGTTCATTATTAGATTCTGAATTATGCATACTTGTGTTGTAATCAAATTGGGCTTAATAGTCTCAACTTCCTTCATCAAAACCCAACTAATATAAGCATATAAAATTGGTCCATGGAGAAGCAGATAATAGGAACCATACCTCGTTGTAACTTCACAAAAGAAGCCTTTTTAGGGTTGTCATATACGCTGGGCCAAGGTAATTTAAATAGCCCTTTGGGCTTTTGCTGGGTCAAGTTTCCATGCAAGTAGCCTCAAATCCAACCCATTTTACCTTAGCAGACATTCACTTTTAGTTCTATATTTGTTCATCATCTTTCTTTATCTGAATCAAAAGATGTAATAAGAATATTTTGCTAAACATTCTCTTATCACAAATTTATTATAGAGCTGTTAACTAATTCAAATATATAAAATTAGGGAGACAAAATAAATTTTTTTGGATGCTTTACATCATTTAAGTCCGTTTAACAGAAATAGTTTTTATTTAATACTATAATTAATATATTGACTTTAAAGTGTAATGTCAAATTTTTTAATAAAAAAGAAATAACGAATAGGTATCAGTATATAAATATACTGACAAATACGAAAATAACAATAAAATCGTTATCAGTGACAGTATAGAATTGTGTAGAAGTTCATTTTTCAAACCATTTATAATATTTTGCTCACATCTTTCATATGGTTATTTCCATGCTAGAAAAAAATGTTTTTTTAGAAAACAATAATAAGAACTATATTTATTTAAATTAAAAAATATATATATTTTTTAATTATCTTAAAAAACATTTTCTAAAGAAAAAAATAAATCATTGAAATAAAAAAAACTATGGTAATTAAATTTAAGAAATAAAACAAAAGGACAAATATTTAGTTGTAACGTGTAACCTGATCATATAAATGAAAGAGAAGGAGCAGAAGCGTGAAGAACGTGCGTGCTTCGCCCACCGTCTATCAACCACTTGTCCAGAAGCAGCCAATTATTGACTGTCCCACATCTCCCCTTCATTATTCGCTTTTTAAGATTCTCTTAGGATTGACTTTATATACAAACTCTTTCATCCACCCCTTTTTCTCTCGGGTAACATTTTTTCTAAAATCCAAATAATACTTAATAATATCAGGTAATTGTGGTAATATAATATTTCTGTCTTCTTTTTATATCTCAATCACATATATAAATGATTAAGAAATATAATTGTGATTCTAAGTTATATATTGGATAAGAATTAAAAAAATTAAGTAATATATATAAAGAAGTATGATCTATAATTCAATGTTTTAAGTTTTTTTTTTTAAAGTTACGTAAATTTCTTATATGGATTGTAATTATGTCTCACTGATGTGTTTTTTTTCTATGAATCTCTCTCAAAAAAATTAACAATTGTTATCAAAGCTAAAGATTGATCGGGACAATGGGACCAGGATAAAGTGGTATTTATATCGAAAGTATTATTGACACATATACAAGTGGTATCAGAGACGAACACATCAGTAAGATAAAATGATTTTTAGAATGAACGACCGTACATGTCTTAAGATCTTGACTTGATAATAGTATCAATTTTTTATATGGGTTATAATTATATATGATTGATGTATTTCTAATGAATGAATAAAGTAGAAAGACCCACAAATTATTACAATAATTCCCATTCTACGTCTTTTTCAAATATTAATAGTAAAATCTGTTATGTAAATTATGCAACTACTATAACTCAAATTTATGGACGGTAAGAAAAAAACTTTGATATAAAATTCATCATATGAAAAAGTGTAGGTAATTCACACTTTACAAATTTTGAATTGTTCATCCTTGGCACTTCCTAACACCCATGCTTTTACTTATTTGTACCATTATTATTTATAATCTTTACATATCCTTTAGTCCTTGCCCCTTAAATTGTTGTTTTAATGTTGTGAACAATTATATCAGTCCTCAGGACTTTTAAATAAAAGTATATGAAAACATTTATTATTATCGGTTATTCTTTTAGTTTCTTACCTCTTAAAGTTTTAATAAAGAATAGTTATATTTAAAATTAAAATATATTTGAAATTTATCTCATTTCTCCTTTATATAAAAAAAAGTTTATATACAGCGAGAAAAATCCAAAGGATGATTTTTTTTCTTGTTATTTTTTATAAGATTTTCCCATTTTTCTTTCAATCATAACTTTTTTTTCGTCTCCTAAGACACATACACATGGAGGATTTTCTTTATGGAAAATAAGTTTTATGAGTCTCCCTTCGTTTGGAATATCATATGGTTAGAACCTGACCTTAATCAAAAAAATTGTATGGAGTATTTAGTCTTTTCTCTTTTTGTAACTTTTATGTAATGTTTATTTTATTAAATGTACTGTTTAAGTAGATGAAAAAACGCATATTGATTGTATTTGTGTCGACTCATTTAAGGAGAAAAGTATGGATGGATTTGAGGGAGACTGAAAAAGAATTATTTTACCTAAAGAGAAAAAAGATGAAAGAAAGAGTAAAGAGAGTCAAGTTACATTTTTTTCCTCCTCTTAAAATCTATAAATAGTAGAATAGTACAACATTCATGTAGGTTTATGCATGCATGACACCTAGGAATCGTTTCAAGGTTACATGAATCATGTTTGTACTTGTAGAGGGAATAGTTGCAACTCAACCACAACCTTCACATATAGTTACAGTTATTCTTTGTCCCAGTGAGCGAGAGTTCCATTAAATACATGAGAGGAGGTCGTTCGTAAATGTGAGTTATTGTCTCGTGCGTGAGATGAGTTCGTGTGTGAGAGTTGAGTTGATTGAGATTGGTTTAATATGTGATGCGCGTTAGTGGTGATGTTTGGTCAAGAAATTGGTTAAGAGAGGTAGAGAGAATCTCAAAAAATCGATTTTTGTATCTTTAAATTGATGGATAATAGATTTTCCTTATTTTTTAATGAAGAAGTAGTTTAACCGGAAATTTAATAAAAATTTAGAGAAGATTGCATGTGAGAAAAAAAAATGAAGATTGTCTTGTACTAATTTGATGCAGATTATGTTATTCTTATTATATTTAGAATGTGTTTAGTTCCAATATTTTGTAATTTGAGAGTAAGATTTTATATAAATTATGGTGGGAATTGAAATTCCGTTAGTTAAACTTAGTTTTTGGAAATGATTATTATGTCTTAAATGATAAGATTTTGGAACCAATTTGTGTTGAAATAAGTTTGATGTTGGTTACCAGGGATGTAGTTTCATGTGAAAATTGTATTTTTAATTGAATTGACTATTATTGCTTTAATTTGTCTAATATAATGACTTTCATTAACACTCTGTTTGTTTCCATTGATATAGTGTTGACAAAGATAGAAACATGAGGATGACACACGTTTGGTTCAACAAAAATACGACGAAATGAAAGCGAGGAAAAGCGGGAGATGGGAGAAAGAGGTTCTTTGCTTATGCACGAAGAAAAGAGATGAAAGCCCCTCGGACAAATTGAAATGTCTAACTTACCCTCACTTTGCAAGATTCACTGGTGCATGCATGCAGAGAGATTCTTAAGAATCTCTGCGAAAAGTTGAGAATCTCTGCAAAACTTGTTTCACGTGTTTCAACAGGGATTCAACCCTATTTTTATAACCCGTGATCACAAGCAAAGTTCTCATGTCATCCTCCATTGTAGTTCTCACAGCAGCCTCCATTGAAGCTCTAGAGAAGATCAATATGTGCTACGCAATCTTAGGTAAGATTAGTCCATATTTTTATCATGCAAATGTTTCACCCCATGTCATATTTTCAAGCTCAACTGATATTATACTAGAAAACGTTGATTTATCAACCTTCTTTGCCTAAGTAATGATCTTTGACAGAGAGAATCTTTTTTAATAAAACTTCACCAGCATGTCAGCTTTTTCATTCTTCTTCAGAATCATACGCCTATGATGAGACAAAATGATTCGAGGGTAACCGGACCGAGTGAGGGAAACTGATACCGCATTGTCAGGATGAACGAATTCATCTCCACCATAGGCCATCATCAAGGATGAAGCTGCTTGCTTAAAATAGAAAGCGCAAAACAACCACCCAGATTTCCGACCAAGGTGAACCAACCACCCAGATTTCCGACCAAGGTGAATAATGTGAATAACAACAAGATGGATCCCCACACAGAGTTCCTTGTTCAGACCATCAAAGATCACTAAAGCACCTTTTGGTATGACGGTCTCTGTTTTCAACCTCCATTAAAGGTCCACCGAATAATATAGGTAAGCTTCTCCTTTATGGCGCCAACCATAATCTATTTTGGTGCGTCTTCTTCCTCCGGTGGTTTATGCATCGTTCTGGCGCCAGACTCTCCTCCGGTGGGCGCCTCTCTGGACGCCATGGTGGACCTCATGGCTGCAGCTGATCCAGTCGTGTGCATGCATGAGAAAATGTCAAACCTCTTCGACTCCAACGGAAAATGGGTAGTATACCATCATGGTTTCTGACTTGGTTATGTTGTTGTTGCAGGCTTAGGGGTGTCGTCAAGTTCGCCGTCAGCTTGTCCCACGAAGAGCTTCGTTCATATCTTTTCTCACAGGTATGGTTGATATGTTGTCTTCCATGATTGCAACCTGAACTGGTTCTAATGTTGTACTCCATGCATTTTTTTATTTCGACTACTAGTAAATATCGAAACACTTAGTAATTAGTTCATTGGAATTATTGCCTTTGTTTAGCATTTTGCAAGATTATGATGAAAAGAAACAAAGAGAGGATGAAATTTATTTCTGGTTTAGAAACACAACTCAATTGCGTCTCAAAACTGAATTTTTGTTTATAAGTCGTGTACACATTAGACAATAAAAAATATGATTGCGTAGTTGAGCATGTACTTTGATATTTTATCTTTTAAAAGTTTCAAACTTAAAATATTCTCTTTTTGATAGAAAAAGTTTTCCAAACATGGCAAAGGTATACGAGTGAGAGTTTCTGCAAAATATATCTATTATCAAATCAGAAACCTAACAAAATGAGAATAGAAAGAATGAAAAGTACAAGTATTAAAATAATTGTAAGGTTGGATTGCTTCTAGGCTCATCCACATGGCAGGTCCATTTGAAAGGTGTGGAATGGGCCCAAGATAAGGCTATTGAACCCAAGTTTTAGACATGTTAATATAAAAATACTTTTATTATTAAATATAAAAAAATGTTATAATACATACTATATAATCTTTTCTTATTAAAAAATGCATAAAAACAAAAAATTAAAAATATGTATTTTTGTAGATGGAAGTTGTGGTTAATGTATTTACTATAAGTGTGGTGTGTGGATTATGATAAGCATCCGGGATCATTTCAACTACCTATAATTATGGCAGACACTTATTAATGCATAATTAAATAAGGAAAAAAAAGTTAAATATAGTTATATTTAAAAAATAAATTTATTGTTTTTTTATAATAGATGGAATATGTAAAATTGAGAAAAGAAAATATTTATAGAAATAAGAATTTGTTAAAAAAGAAGTAAAAATATTAGTGGAAAAAAAATTATTAGTAGTTTTTTAAATAAATTTTTTATAAAACATTAAACTTATATGATTTTAGTCTTGTATACATTAACTGAATATATTTAATTTTCTAAATATTAAAATTATATATTTTGAATTACTTCCATTAAACATTAATTATATATATATATATATATATATGTGTATGTGTATAATTGTATAATGTTAAATATAATTAAGATATGATAAATAAATCAAAAAATTATTATTATAATTGTAATAATTGTTGAGTAAATCTGTAAGATAATTTAAGTTTAATGTTAAAAAATAATTTTATACGACATAAATCAATTAAATATTTAAAAATGTCAATTTTAAATAATAAGAAGAGAAAACCTAATTGTAAGATAAAAATCATATTTTTACATATGAATTACTGTGTATTAGTTATGGAAAATAAATGTTTTAAAGACTTTGAACTATATATTCATAATATTTAAATTGTGTAGTATAAGTTTATAAGAGATAAACTTAAATATAAAAATAAATTGTAATAGTAGTATCAATTGGTTGTTCTATAACCTTACAATAGTTGCCAAATGATAAGACTGTGAGAGTGTGAATTCTGGTCATTTATTTATGGTGTGCGAATTTATTTATTGTATATATATGTTGCATTGTGTGGTTTGGCTGAGTCCAAGGGTGGTCGACCTTCAACATATTTAAATTGTGTGTGATTTGGTTATGTATATTGGAAGTATCATTATCAATGAAAAATGTTTTTTTATTAGTTAACGAGAGTTATAATTAGGGTTTAGGGTTTACTTCTTATTTAAATATAATTAAATTATATAAATTTGGTATTTGGAAATAAATTTTCAGATGGCAGACAAAAACATCGAGATCATTGATTTAGATAATGACGATATAGATAGTAATTTGGATATAAACATAATTTCACATATACAAAGTGAGATAAAAAAGCGAAGCGAAGTAGGAGCGATGTCAATTCTTTGTCTGATAGCCTATGAGTTAAATATGTTGTCTACGGTAACTTGTAGTAACAGTAAAATTATGGACTTTATTTCTAAAAAAGAACGTCGTCGGCACGAGTTGATGTCATACCTTATTCATACTGAACAATCTCATGACATTATTCGCATGAGACCGGAGGCATTCATTAACTTTTGTCAACGAGTAAGGGCAACTGGATTGGTAAACGATGGGTTACAATCAACAGTCGAAGAACAAGTGGCTAAATTTCTTCATATTATCGGACATAACATTAAAAATCGAACTGTTTCATTTTTCTTCCATCGATCGGGTGAAACCGTTAGTCGACACTTTCATAACGTGTTGAATGCGATAATAATGTTGGGGGAACAATTAATTGTTCAACCATCAAGAAGGGATGTGTTTCCGTATATATTAAACAACAACCGATTTTACTCATACTTTAAGGTAATCTACTTACCAACTTTGTGTCTATATAACATACGCATAGATTGTCTAAACTTTAATGACAATACATTTTTTTGACCAATTAGGGTTGTTTAGGGGCGATAGATGGAACTCATGTTCGATTTAAAGTCGCAAGATCCGATGCCCCTCGTTTTCGTGGAAGAAAAGATTAGCCAACACAAAACGTATTTGCAGCTTGTGATTTCAACATGAAATTCACATATGTTCTAGCAGGGTGGGAAGGAACAACATCTGATTCAAGAATATTAAAAGATGTTCTTATGAGAGAGGATCGTCTTATCATACCACAAGGTTTATTATTTATAACGTGAGGATTTTGTGTATAGTCATCTAGTTTAAATATTCTAATCAGTATAACTTCAATGATTTTAAATAGGTAAATACTACTTGGGGGATGTTGGATTTATGTTAAAAGCAAACATAATGACCCCCTATCGAGGAGTTAGATACCACCTTAAAGAGTATTCTCAACGAGCTCCACAAAACCCCCAAGAATTGTTTAACCATCGACATTCGTCTCTTAGAAATGTAATTGAAAGAACATTTGGAGTTTTGAAGAAAAGATTTCCTATAATAGCTAGTGGAACAGAGCCTCATTATTCATTTGATATAATGACGAATATAGTCCTAGCATGTTGCATTCTACACAATTTTCTTCGAGGGGTAGACAACGATGAATCACTGTTAGCTGAAGTGGATCGAGAGTTGATGGAACAAGATGTGGACAACATGTCGACTCAAGTTCGAGAAGAGGATTATAGGGAAGGGTCAAAATTAAGAGATGCTATAGCAAATCAAATGTGGATAGAATATTAAAGTGATTAGATTTTGTATGTAATAATATATTTAATGAGATGTACTATTGTTATTGTTGAAATATGGTTAAATTACGATTATCCATTTATAATAATTATATGTTGGTATTGTCATTACATATATTGTCTTTCCAATAGGTTTAAAATGAACAAAGGAAAGGATATTGCACTGAATTTGTCAAATGTAGTGCGCGAGTTTACAAAATGGACTGATGATATGAACTTTTGGTTGTTGACTGCTATGCTTAATGAGGCAAGGTTGGGTAACCGGGTTGATGGTAGTTGGAAAACCCAAGCATATAATAATATGGTTGAATCCCTAAGACAGTCTGGATTAATTAGTATAACTAAAAATAATGTTAAAAATCGACAAAAAAGTCTTAAGGATAGATGGCGGGAGGTTCACGATTTGTTTCATGGACTTCGTGGATTCGCTTGGGATGATATCACAAAACGGTTTATGGCTGAGCAAGAAGCATGGGATGACCTGATCAAGGTACTATTATATGAATTATCATTTGTTGATATAGCAATTACGAGTGTTAACCGTTCTTATTAATTTGTAGGCGAAGTCTTCTACAGCTAAATGGAGACTGTCAACCATAAAGTATTATGATTTGATGGAAGAATTGTAGGGTGTTGATCGAGCTATTGGGCATATGGCAAGAACTTCGCGTCAGTCCCGGAGGAATATCAGTTCTCAAAGGGCAACAGTCGACTTGAACGTTGATGTGGATCCCACACCAGAGGAGCACCCATTTGACTTTGGCTTTGATGCAAGATTTGATACAACTTATCGATCACCTCCACGCATGGGTTCTGACAGTCCTGCTGAGGGTGTTCAGTCAATGCCATCAGTTGCGTCTACTGGTTCAGGTGGAACCTCTTCATCTCGGGGCACAAAAAGAAAAGCGCCTATGATTGATGTGATGGAAGGTCAATTTGACAAACTAACAACGAGGCTGGACACATTTACAGATTACCTTGGCCAAGGTAATACATTAACCCAACGATTATCTGACATAGCTGAAAGACAGGTGGTCGTCATTGAACGCAGAAATGATTTAATTAATGATCAAGTTAATGTGATGAGGCGATCATCAACATTTCAACATTCCGAGTCAGATATATGGGACATGTTAGTCGGCATGAATCTAAACGACGAGCAACTTATGCTTCAGTGTTATAATTATTTGTGTACTCACGAATCACATGTTAGAAGACTTTTTGGCTTGCCCCCACATCTTCGTCTCTCCTAATTGTTCATGTTCTTGGGTGGAAGTGATTGAATGGTTTGTTATAAAAACCTGAAAATGCTTTAAGATTCATTTAGGAACTCTTCAATCATAATGAATTTGGCAGACCTACTCCACAAACATTTCGACGAGATACTGCTATTGAAGTACATTCTGACGAAGGAACTTCTAACCTCAAGGATTTGACTACAGAGGATCGAGAACATTATAATTATTTGTTTGGGGAACATTAGTGTGCATATGTTTATAATTTTAGTAATGTTTGTCAAATATCTAATGTCCGTATTAATTAATATTATTTGATAATCAAAATTTATGACATGTAATTCTAAATATATATATATATATATATATATATATATATATATATATATTAATTATGTATTGAAAGTATAAAAATATGACAAAAATATATATTAATATAATTTATAACTAAATATTAAATATTTTTACTATTAAGTTACATGAATTGTTTATTTAAATATTATTTTATTTTCACTATATCTTATATTTATTTAAATAATAATTTACAATTATATTATTAGTTGTCATAATTATTTATTATTATTAGTTAATATTAATTATTATTTTTTAATTTATAATCATTTAATTAATCATTTAATTATTAGTCAAATAATTTGTTTAATATGTCAAAATTATTTTTTATTATTTTTTATGTATATGTAGTGTAAATAATTTTGTAATTGTTTATTTATAAAATTTTAATAACTATTTTTAAAAAAATTATTTTGTAAAATTTTTTTCCACGCACAAACCGTATAAAAAAATTTATTATTATTTTTCCTTCCAAATATACAATAAAAGTTAAAATGTAGGTAATTATTAAAAAATTACATTTATAATAATTGTAACCTTATTTTATACATAAGGGTAAAATAGTAATTTTTTCAAATAATCAATTAAAATTATAATTTTTATATTTCATATCAATCAAATTATTCACAATTTTCAATAAACTTTTTTTTCATTTTCTCTTCGTCCAAACAAGTTTAATTTTCCTTCCATTTCTTTTTAAATCCCTCATTTTCCAGCTCTCCTTTTCCACTCTTCCAAATCACTCCAACCAAACAATAACTAAGGGAAATGGAGATAGAAAACATAAAATTTTAGTTCAACTCATAAAAATTAGTAAATAAATGTTTTAAATTTCATTAATAGAAAATAATTTTATCTAAGTCAAATAAAAGGTAAAAACACAAATAACAAATTCATGATTTTAATGCAAATGCAATGACGACAAATTGACTAACTGAATATAAAATATAAAATATTTTTAAAAATAATATATATATATATATATATATATATATATATTATAAAATAACAAAGTTAGAATTTGAAAAAAAATTCATATATATATATATATATTTGACAATTAACATTTAAAATATTATTTTATAATGAAAATATACTTTATAAAACTAAGTAAAAATTGTGACTTATATTATATAAAGAGAAAAACAAGAGATCAAGAAAGAAAAATCATACAAGAAAATATTTGAGCAATAAGTTATATCATTACAAAACTTTTAAAATAAAAATGACAAATTCCTTAGTATATATAGATTTAAGAAAAAAAATCTCCACGATTATGCTCCATAAATAAAAACACACAATATGTTACATTCGCTATAACTTGAATAAAGCAAAAAGAAAGATAAGTATTTTAACTAAGCATGAAAATATTTAGATATATGAAAAGTGGTGTTTTGTGTGAAAAAAAAAACATTAAATAATATTATGTTATTAAATAAATATTTCAAAAAATATTAAAAAGTAGAGTTTCAACGGTCATATTTTCGAAATCTATAAAAAAAACATAAATTATTGAAGAGAATATACAACTACAACAAAATCTTATTAAGTTTCTCTTTCTATCTTTTTCTTAAGTCTTTTATTATTAAGTTTCTCTTTCTATCTTTTTCTTAAGTCTTTTATTTAGAAATTTAATAGATCAAAGTCATTATTATACTCTTATTCATGAAAATAAAGTCTTATGTAGAGAGTTTTCCGATTATTATACTACTTTGATAATTGTTATTTTTAGTCATGGTAATAACAAATAATAATTATGTGTAGTCAATATTGATGACTAGAATTGACTTAGTAATAATCAACTTAAATATTGCTAATTACAACTAAACTCTTTAAGTATTTTTAAAGGAAACTAAAAATATTAATTATTTAGGTAAACCAGTACATCCTTTATCATTGTTTATTTATTTTTAAAATAAAAATTTTAAACTAATATAATTTTACTTTTTTTTCTTTTAAATATTTATTTAAAGCTAAAACTATGTATTTTCAAAAAATATTGAGTAAAAACTTCAAACATAGCTCAACAAAAAATATTTAAAAAATAATAATAAATTTAATTTAATTTTATAGTATGAAATATCAATAGTTTTTAATATTTTATAACATTCATAATTTTTAATTTTTAATTTTTAATTAATAACATTAAGTTTTCAAAAAATTAATATAAATAATATTAATAATTTAATAAACAATTAAAATTGTTATTAATATTTTATATTATTAAATTAATATTTAAATTTAATATTTAATATGTAAATGTAACATCTGAACACATATCATAAATACTTATATAATCCAGGTGAATAAGGTATTTCTTATAGATTGTTTTCTCATCGAGATTTTTCCTTTTTATTTACATTTGAACTATCATAAAATGTAATTAATAAACATATTTAAGATCGTATTATTTCTCATCCTATTTTCGCTAAGATTTAACACCTACATTATTTTCTTCCATGTAAAAACATGATCATCATTGTTAAAGAAAACAATATACAAAACACACAAGCTAAATTAGTATTTTGAAATAAACATGTTAAATTTAAATTTGTTATAAAACTACAATTTCATGCATTTCTACATGTATTTACCACTACATAAGTTTATTTCAATTTTATCATATCAATCAATTCACATCACACAGACTCTAGATGACTTCCGAAAGACTGGATATTGAATTAGACTCAGAGATTCTGCACCTATCATATTACCTTCCCTAAGTGGACATCTCAAACATAGATACATAGTTAGGACACATTTCCTCATGTGTCAAGGTAAAATCCCTATTACTTGTCAAATACAGTTATTTTCACACCACAAACTAAGTCACAAATACGTCATTCAACTCTCACCACTTGATCCCTACATCTATGTGATTCCAGTGATCAGTAGAGTTAAGATAATCTCCTTCAGAATCCCAATTCAATATGCCTACACACTTTACCACATATTACCTCCCAAAGTACCCATAACCACACATATTTAAGTCGATTATGGATCATATATCAAGTTCGACTTAGTCTTACATACATAAATATATTTTAGTCGATTATGAGTCACTCTCCAGACTAAGCCTCAATAAACATATCTTAGTATAAAAAACACACAAGACACACTACAAGAAAATCATTAATTACCGATGGATTTAAAGTATTTGTGGAAATTGGTCTTACCGATGGATATATCTGTTAGTAAATGAACAATTAATTATTGACGGATATATCCGTCGGTAAATTAACAATTAGTTACCGACGAATATGTAATCGTTGGAAAATGAGTTATTACCGATGAAAATTACCGACAAATTTAAAGTATTTGTGGAATTTGGTCTTATCGAAGGATATATTCGTCAGTAAATTAACAATTAGTTATCAACGAATATATCCGTTGGTAAATTAACATTGTCCCACTCTGCACCTTGCCCATATAACTAGCGGTCCCTCACACCACTCTCACCGTCTCCACGCTCGTAGCTACTCACCATCAGCCCTAGCCCTCCCGTGGATGCATCTCTTCCATTGTGATTCACATCACCACTTCCAGCTTCCACCAGCCACCACGGGTCTCAGCTGCAGCACCCCCATCTCCTTCACTCAAACCCTAGTGTGAGCCGCATATTCCCAATCTCCGTCGTAGCCACCACAAGAGAACTCTAGCCACCATGTGGTCGTCTCATCCGCACGGCGCACCTTGCCGGCCTTGCGGCTCCACCAGTACCCCTCAATCTCCACCACGGGCCGCTTCCCCTTGCCAAAACTGTGAACCCTGTCCCAAGCTCCCTCTTCACCAATCACGCCAAAATCCCTCGCCCTGAGCCCATCCAAACCCAATCGTAGAGCCCTGGCCATGACTCACGCACCCTAACCACCGCAACTCAACCTGGAGGTTGGTGGTTAGAAGAAAGGGTTGTGGGCCTAAGTGAGGTTTCTCCCTTTCTCTTTTGAATTCTTATTTACAGTTTGTAATTTGAGTTTGGTGATTCCGATTGTTTTCAAAATGTCATATTATCCGAAATGTTTCATTTGATTTGTCTGATTTATGATCGATTTTTGGATTTAAACTGGATTTTTATTGGATCAGTGGGTTGTCTAGGGTCGAGGCTGAATTGAGTTATAAATATCTGACATGGTTGTTAATTGGCCGGTTCCGGATTTGGTCTCATTTCTGATTTGGGATTGGAAAGCGAATATGATTAGGGATATTGGATTGTAGATAACTGGGGTTTGGGTCTTAATTAGTGTGTTTGGTTCTCTTTTCTTTGTGGTTATGGTCCGGGCCTACTCACTAAGTTCAGATTGTTGTGTTTAGGTCTTTGATGTCTTTCTCTGCTTTTGACTAGATTGTGTTAATTGGACTTTGATGTTTGTTGTTGAGGTCCTGTTGTTCTGTTATTTCTTTTTAAGGTTTTTGGAAACTTTTAAACTGTTTTTATGCTTAAATGCAAGTATGTAAATCATATATGAAGAGCATTATACTTCCTCTTCTAACCCCAAAATTTTCTTAGATGTTGTTTGTGAAAACTTTTCTTATGGGCATTTTACTCCGCCATTCCACATAGTTTCCTGTGTCTGGATGCTGCTTGTTTCTGTGTGTAGTGTATGATAACCATCATGTCTACAACAATTCTCTTGAACAATTTTACCAATAGTTTTTTCATGTCTAATATCACAACATGTGTTGTCTTTCATTGTTAATAATTCTTTTCGGTACACGTACTTCTTGCAGGTTAAGTGTTGGCTAATCAGACGCCAAACAAAGGCTCCTCAAGCTGCAGGGACTATCTATACTGATTTTGAAAAGGGATTTATTTGTGTTGAGGTGAGTTGAGTTCATGAATATTGACATTTCTTGATTTAACTTGATTGATTCTTCCTTTTATATAATTGCAATTATTGAATTCGCATTATAATTCTATAGCTAAAGATTATACATCCACCATAGCTAAACACAAGAACTAAGCTACTTGGAAAAATGATATTCATTAAATGCTTATATTTCCAACATTCGAATTCCATGAATTTTTGGATGAGATTCAGAATAGGAGTGACAGTTCTTCTTTGTTGTAAACATAGGCATTATCCAACATAGGACAATTATAATATAACACATTTGCAAATGGTTCGATGATGTACCTACAACCATGTAGGTTTTAATAAATTGTTTTTATATTGTTTAAGCTTAGTAGTTTTATTGTGTGAATTTGTGCACATTACAAGCTTACTAATTGTAACTATACTTTCAATTCATCTTTATATGTAAATATGTTTTAGTACACCAATTCCTTTTTTATTCAAGCTTAATTGCTTGAAAGTCCAATGTTAAATTGGATTTGACAACATAAAAGTAGCTTAGTATTATTATGTTGAATCCAATGTTTAATCAATGTTTGATTTATTTGGAGTATAGTTTAATAAAAATCCAATGGTCGATTTTTTTCAAACAATTCCTTCAATTGATCTTATTCTCTTCAATATTACAGAACATGGATGATAGTTCTTTCAATCGTGGTTGGATGTATGATAGATGTTATAGTGGTAGAAGAGGTTTGAAAGAGTCTTTTGTTATAGGGGTTGAAGAGTTTATCAGAACAACACGACAATATGAGCATTATGATCATGATGGAGAGATTAGATGCCCATGCGTTAAATGTGATTGTACAAAGATTTTGAAGGATGAAATCGTCAAAATTCACCTTTACAAGCAAGGGTTCAAAATAAAGTACTGGATTTGGGTCAATCATGGTGAACAAATACCTCATGTTGAAGAGAATTTTGATCACAATTGTGTGCATGGTTCAAGTAGTGATGCACACATGCCTCAACAAGACCAAATTATGTCAATGCAAGAGATGATGTACAATTCTCTCTCGCAACATCATTCATTTGAAGGACCCGAGTTAGTTAATATAGAAAAGCCACCAAATGAAGCAACTCAAAGGTTCTATAATTTGTTGGCTGACACAAATAAACCCTTATTTGAAGGGGCAGAAGACTCAAAATTGTCAATATGTATTAGACTTTTAGCTTGCAAGTCAAATGGGAACATTCTTGACCAGTACTTAGACTTTATGACACGAATGTTGTTGGATGTCACACTTATAAAAGATGGTTTTCCCACTAGTTATTATGATGCTAAGATATTAGTATCAAAATTGAGATTAGAGGCTAAGAGGATTGATTGTTGTGTCAATGGGTGTATGCTTTTCTATGACAATGATTATGGAAAAAAGGATGCGGCATTGCTTGAATGTAAATTTTGACAAACACCAAGATATCACAACAATAGCACTGGAACAAGTCACAAAAAGCCAGTCTCAGTAAAAGCCATGTTTTACTTGCCTATAATTCCAAGATTACAAAGAATATTTACATCAATGCAAACTGCTGGGCAAATGATTTGGCACCATGACAATAGAAGTTCTGGTGTCTTACGCCATCCATCAAATGATGAAGTATGGAAGTACTTTGATAGGAAACATCCTTCTTTCATTGCTGATCCACGCAATGTCAGACTTGGATTATGTTCTGATTGGATTTCACCCATATATCCAAGCTTCATCTTCACCTTATTCTTGTTGGCCCGTGATTGTCACCCCATATAATCTTCCTCCTGATATGTGCATGTCAAAGCCATATATGTTTTTAACTTGCCTAATTTCGGGTCCATCTAATCCGAAAGCCTCTATTGACATTTACTTGGAGCCTTTAATCAATGATTTGAAAAAAATTATGGAGTGGTATTCTCACATATGATATTTCAAGGAAACAAAACTTTATGATGATGGCAGCTTTAATGTGGACTATTAATGACTTTCCAGCATATGGGATGTTATCTGGTTGGGGGACTCATGGTAGATTGGCTTTTCTACATTGTATGGAGCATAGAAAATCATTTACATTAAATTATGGCCGTAAAAAGTTATTGGTTTGACTCGCATCAAAGGTTCTTACCTAATTATCATCCTTTTAGAAGGAACATTAAAGCTTTTCAGAAGGGACAAGTTGAAGTAGAAGGGTCGTCTCCTAGGCAAACACCTACAGAAGTATGGTCAAGAGTAAAAGATTTGCCAAAAGTAACTGAATGTGGTGTGACAAGGATATAATGATATGAAGAGTGGCATAATTGGATAAAAAGAAGCATATTTTGGGATCTCCCATATTGGAAAAATAATTTGTTGAGACACAATCTTGATGTTATGCATATAGAGAAAAATTTCTTTGATAATATTTTCAACAATGTGATGAATGTAAGTGGCAAGACAAAAGACACTGAGAAAGCAAGAAAAGATATAATTTTATATTGTAGGCGTAGAGACTTGGAGTTAAAGGCACAAGCTAATGGAAAAATGTTAAAGCCTAAAGCAAAATACACATATAGTACTGAGCAAGCAAAAGTAGTTTGTCATTAGATAAAAGAACTTAAGATGTTCGATGGTTATTCTTCCAACTTAACAAGATGTGCTGATGTTCACAAAGGGACGATTCATGGCATGAAAAGTCATGATTGTCATGTATTCATAGAGTGTTTACTTCCTATTGCATTTAGTGCATTACCAATACATGTTTTAAATCCTCTTATTGAAATTAGTCATTTTTTTAAAGATTTGTGCTCTGCAACATTGAAGAGAGAAATGCTAATTAGAATGGAAGAAAATATTTCAATTATTCTTTGTAAGTTGGAAAGAATATTTCCTCTTGGATTCTTTGATTCAATGGAACATCTCCCTATTCATCTAGGATATGAAGCTTGGCTTGGTGAACCCGTGCAATATAGGTGGATGTATCCATTTGAAAGGTACTAAAATGATTGTCCCATTCCTTTTAAATGTCATTCTTATTACACTTATCAATCATAATATTGTTGTTTAATTCATTAGATTCATGGGCGATTCAAAATGATCTACGAAAAACAAGGTCAAAGTTGAAGGATCAATTTGTGGAACTTACTTGCATCTTGAGGCAACTTACTTCTGTTCTCATTATTTCAACAACTTCATGTTATTACCACAACAACGTAGAAGTGAAAATGAATTTCAAAGCCAAACACAAGTTTCAATGTTATCAATCTTCCGACAAGTTGTTCATCCTTCAGAATGAGAGTTAAGTCATTGGTTGACTAATGCTGAATTTAAATCTGCTTATGTTCATATATTAATCAATTGTGTTGAAGTTAAACCATATCTTGAGTAGGTTCAAATAACATTATTTTTCAAATTCCTTGTCAAATTTTCTACGACATTCAAATTGACCGTTGAAATGGTCTACTTGGTTAGTTCATTCTTGCACTCAGAACAAATAAATGAATCATAAGCTTCTGCTCGGATACATGCAAATTTTCCTATATGGTTCAAGGACCAAGTATGAATCTTATAATTATATTTTAAATATATTTTAGATATAGTAATGTAATATTGGATGTCTCTTAAATTTGTAGATCCACAATGAGCCATGTACTGTGAGAAATCAAGACTTAAGAGATTTGTCCAATCATCCCATCAGATGTGTTAAAGAATGACACACATACTTTGTGAATGGATACAAATTTCATACAGATGCATGGAGCAAGGGGAAAAAGACGATAAATAGTGGAGTTTATGTTAAGGGTTTGACAGAAAGTGGTGAAGATGATTTTTTTGGGATAATTATTAAAATATATGTGTTGGAATACAATTCTTCAAGTTATCCCAAAAAAGTTGTGGTTTTTTACTTTGAATGGTTTGATCCATCTAGAAGAGGTACAAAAGTAGATCCTAAATATAATATTGTAGATATTCGAATGGGTTTAAGATATGGACCATTTGATCCATTTATCCTTGCACCTAATGTAAGACAAGTGTATTATGTCTCAT